TCCTCCTAATATTCTTCTATTCAGCCATTCGTTCCCACGTGCATTGCATAACTAAACGCTTAGACGCGACACATTTATGCATTCAATTCCTTTTTCCTTTTCTTTCTTGTTTTTAGTCACTTTTTCACCCAGCGTTCCTCTCTATATGATCATCGGTTTCCTACTTGTTTTCCCTCTTCCTCAGTTGTCCTTATTCCATCCACTCCATCCATTTCTAGTACTTTTTGTATCGTTCCTCTTTCCTACTCTGTCTCATACCTTCCTAAATGGTACCGTGCCTGAAATAGATCCCACCGAAATCCTCCCATTTTTCACTTCTCCTAGACGGTATTCAAAAAGGATTTTGAATTTTTGAGAATTTTAAAGTCATCCGCATCACTTCCTGCTATGTGATCCCTGAGTTAATCGGGTGGTAGTGGTCAAGCTGTGTGAGATTAATGACTTCGGGGAGATTACATGACATTTGATTCCTTGGGGTCTGGCTCTGCGCTGAACAACCACCACCCAAATAGGACCGGATTGTTACTAATTTTCAGGTCCATTTTCGGGTCAAGGTTACCACCGAGCGAGTTGCCGGGGGAAAACGAGACAGGAGGGTCTTTAATAGAGCTCTTCGTCATCTCGCCGAACGTTTCGTCGTCGAATTGCACGGGGTGTTTGACGACAATGGGGGGAGAGGGATGTGGCGAGAGACACATCGAGGCGAAAAGCGTCTCGGCTGGCTGGCTATTATTGACCTACACCACCAGCACGGTGGATGATGCTGTTGCTGCTGCTTCTACTGCTTGCTACTGCTCTCCGGCTATTTTTGTTTACTATTTACACCATAGTTGGTTGTTGTGCATGGGGGGTACGTGTTAGCGCAGAAATGCCATTAGACACTTGTTATTTCGTCGTATAGCTGGAGATGTGCATGCGTGCGTGCGTGGAATCAACGTATCTGCCTTCCGTAACCCACCCGGCAGGGTCAGCATCATCTAATGGGTCCGCTACCAACCGATTAGATTTGCATATGCGCATCGCTTCGAGGAGTGGAATGGCTGACAGGCCTCGGCCCGCTAGCTGAGCTAGACTGGGCCGGCTGGCGCGCCATAGACCGGTTCTTGGGACACCCGAATCTCTCTGCCGATCTGTCTCTGTATAAGTGTGTCTATCTGAATGTATACATGTGTGATGTGCGTGTCTATGTCTGTATCTATGTGTCATCCACCATTGACACACTACCTCCTCATTACGGCCAACTATGCCCCTCCCGCGCGTCATCTACGGCCATCTGGCCTCTCGGGCGGACTTCCGTATGTGGTGGGGGAGCCTGACCAATCAATGCTTCAACAGCAACCAACACCGGGCCACGAGAGGGCTCCACCAGCTGATTCGCGCTACTGCCTAGTGCCCGTCCTATCGCGCTGACCACTGCCCTGGACATGTGACCACCACGACTCTCTGCTGTCGTCAATTTATCGGATCTCAGCCATTATGCGCGCTCATCGCCGATTTCATCTGCAGCTACGGCTCCTAACGCTCCTGGACCTGTTAAACACTTCCCTTACAAAGGCCCCCTCCCCTCATTACAACCCACTTCCACCATTCTCAATCACCGCTGATATACAACTACCTTCGAACAGGAAATATTCACAAATCTCTCATTTCATGTCGCTGCTTGTTACGCTTCTCTGACTGCAAAATGCTTGAAAATCGATATCTTCAATCAATATTTCC